TGACCATCATATGACCAGATAAATTTTGAATCGTGATAAAATATAAAATATAGAATGATTTAAAACTAAGTTGGCCTCTCCAATTTATTCGAGATACAAGAAAAATAATTCTTCTTGGGTTTGATAATCGTTGCATTCAAGTATGATAGAAGAATAATAATTCCTTATATTTTACATATTTATTAAAAATAGATTCTTTTTAGAATCCACGATCAATCTAATGAAACACAAAATAATCTAAAACTAAGTTGGCTTCTCTTATTTACTCGAAGAAAAGTAATCCTTCCTGAGTTGCTTCCTGGATGGGATAATCGTTGTATTAAAATGTGCGACGATAGAAAAAGAAGACTCCTGGCTCTAGTTGTATATATATACATACATATACGAATGAATTTGCGTTTTGGGAATCGCAAAGAAGCATTTTGAAGAGTCACGGATTCATAATTACGGACAATAGCGAGAGAGAGAAAGAGACGGTTCATGAAAGATTCAGCTGGATTTCGTCCGATCGGGGGTGGGACATTAGCCGACGGTCGATGAATATTTGAACGACGTTGAAAGCTTGGAAAAGACGTTCCGGAAACTTGCACGATGCCCCCTCTTCCGTCCAGTGGAAACAGCCCCTGGTGGCGGCCCGCTGTCCCACGCGGGGGAATAGCCAAGAATCGGATGTTGAGACCCTTTCACGAAACTTGGAATGGAAACCATCCTTTGAACACATCCTTCGCGACTTTGAGTCACCATTGCAAACTTATTGGCCGTGTCAACGAAAATTTCTTAAAAACTGCCGATCTCTTGAAACTCGATCGATCGAAAATTAAGAAGAGGAAACAATTTTTCCTCGACAGGAGGAAAAAAAAAATTCTTAAACTTAGGCTTCCGCGAATCCTACTATTGTAAGAGAGAGAGAAGAAACACGACCAGAAATTAAGATGGAGGGGAAAGTTTAAGAGCAAAAGGAACGAGGGAGAAGGGGTTGAAAAGGCAGGAGGAATCGGTAGACAAAGGGAACCAAGTCTATTCCCCCGCGTTGAAAGTGTTCCCGTCGGTGGAGGAAACGGGGTACAACCCCTATTGTCAACCCTCTTTCCAACAACGCCACCCTCCCCGTGTGGCGCTTTTCATCGTGGCGTGAACGCGCCACGCGAGACGAGAGAGGAAGACATCCCCATCGGATACCGTCTCTTCGCCTTCCTTCCTCACTGAGAGAGGAATCGATGGTCGTCGGACGTGTCTGGACGTCAGATTTGCATTTGGACTGGGATCGTTCAACGTGGCGCGTCTTTTCTTTTTGGACGAATGGGTCTGCCTTCTTCCTTTTTGGAGGATTCATTCTACACCTTGTTGTTGCACCTTGTGTATTTACATTAGTCTAGGAACTTTTGTTACTCGATTGGTAACCTTGATTCGATTCAGTTTCTCAACGGAAAATAAAATTTAGTTGGGAAATACATTCATATATCATATTTCTTAGTTTTCGTTAACCATCTGAATCACTCGCTTTTACTTGTATATTATCGATGGAAATTCGCAACAACACCCTTCTTACCACATACGATATAATTTTAAATTTAAAACCGTATAAAAATGCAGCGTGGTTCGCTAGCTCGATCGTACTTGTCCCTCTTTTGTATCTCTATTGTTCCCAAATTTCAAATTCTGTGATTCCAAAGTATATTTTATATTCGTATTTCACTGCAACGATTTGCACTCGTACGTCGTCATATATAATTACATTCCAGGGGAAATATTTGAGAAGTTGATCCAATATAAACTTCTGGATGGCCAAAAGATCAGAATAAATGTTGATAAATAAAATAGGATCTCCACCTCCTGTTGATTCAAAAAATGACGTATTAAAATTCCGTTCAAATAATAGTATCGTAATCTAGCTCCAGCAAGAAGTGAAAGTGACATAATAAGTAAAATAGCTGTGATAAATACTGTTTATGGAAATAATGAAATTTGATCATAATTTAAAGAAGAATTGTAGTGAGAAAATTGCAAAATCCACAGATGGTGATAATAATAAGCTGATAGTGGTGGATAGACTGTTCGTGCTGTACCTTAGTCTTGGATAAAATAAATTTCTTATTAATAGTAATAATAATAGTAATAAATCAAAATCTAATATTAATGGAATTAATCAATTTCCAAATCCTCCAATTAAAAATGGTATTACTATAAAAAAAAAAAAAAATTAATGAAAAATGCGTGTCTAGTCGGAAGCTAGCATCACAAATTTGATCATCGTTAGGCTTAGGTTAAGGTAATTCCAGGAATTTTTAAAAAAGAAGAAAAGAGGAGTGAGGTAAGAAACAAGGAGTTATTAATGGATTGCAACGCTCGTGGATTTTTGTTAAATCATACGGTTAATGGAGGAGAATGAATTATGAGTTTAATCGAGGCAAAGAATCATCCTCCTTCTCCTCTCCTTCCTTCCCTGCCCCGAATTTTAATCTTGGACGAATCGCGCAATTTATCCCCTAATCTAGCGCCCGCCCTGGCATTCATACGAATGTTTAAAGGGGGGTGCATCATTGGACAAACAATTTTTGGAGGGCGGCCTCGATCCGACGAAAGAACAATTCCTGGTTGTAAATCAACGGCCAGCTCGCGTGCCAACTCGCCCTTCGCGATGCTCCCCGGTTATTAAAGCGGCGCTTAAGCCGTGCATACGCGGCGAGGCCTTAGCCCAGTTCAGAGTGCCATCGCGTGGGCGGACGATTTCATCGCCCGATAAAGACATCCAAGCCAATTTCCACTCGTTTTTCCACTTCTTTCGTTTTACCAATTCCAGAATTATTAATTGTAAATTCAATAATTTTTCTAACATATTTTCTCGAACGAAAACTTTTCGGATCGTTCCTCTCTTTGAAACAATAGTGGAATTGGAATTAATCGGCGGTCATATTCAACGAAGTTTAATAAAGTTGGAATCGAAATTTTTCGAATCTTCTCGAATCGATTCTTCGATTCATCGTCGATTCACTTGTCAAACGAATTCGAACGAACCTCGAACGAATTCGTCGGTCGAATTTTTCTTTCTCTCGTTGATTCCAGGTCACCGAATCGGTCACAGATGGAAATCACCGCGTAGCAGGATCACGAAATATCTCGTTTCGGAGCCGAGTGACGAAGCTTGTTGGGGGCGCGTGTGAAATTAATTTCACCACTGTTTATATTCTGCGAGGTAAAGTTTCTCGAGGCGAGAAGATGCCGGTGATGAAAGTAATTTTGCAATAATAAATTCGTTCGTCGCGCGATATTAATCTCGCCCGGATTCGGTCTCGAACGGAGACAGAGTTTCAAAGTTTTCGCTGCAAATTTCCACTCTCGAGAGATTTTTATCCCCTACGAGAAGGAATCGAAGGGGTCGAGGAGAGGACGAGAGAAAAACTAGATTGATGAGTGAAGAAAAGGGAGGAAAGAGAGAAAAGGAACAAAGTTGCAGAATCGGAGAAAGTTGGAAGAGTTGGAAGAAGTGGTTGAAAGTTGGGGGAAGAAAAAGGATGAAAACGCGTAATGGTGGATGTAATCGCTTTCTAATTAAACTTAGAATTAATGTACAGTTGCGTTACGAACCCGCGCAAAAATCGACGAGGGAAACGAATGACGAATACACGGACGGAAAATGAACCGAATCGAAGAACGGAGGAGGATGTGAAAAAAAAAAGGGGGAGGAGGAGCGTTGATGGTAGGAAGAGAAAGCAAAGCGAAATACGAGGACATGGAGTGAAAACTGGTGAAAACAGGAACGCGGAAAAAAGAAGAACACGATATAGGAGGGGAAAAAAGGCAAAGAGCGTTTTGGGTCAGCGAGTGTGGAGAGAGAAAGAGAGAGAGAGAGAGAGAGAGCGTGCAAACAAGAAACTCGGCTCGCACGACGAATCATCGATTAATAGAGACGAGTTATAAAACGCGAGGATCATTCGTCTCTCAATTTTTCCTTCTATACGCGTTTGCCAACAACTCGTTTCCAACGTTTATGATTTCTTCTTCAACCCCCTGGTAATCGCTGCAACTGGTGGTGGAGGAGGGATGGAGAAATTTAATCTATTTAACAAAATCAGTTTTGAATGACATTACAAGTCTATCCTCTGTGCGTTTCGCATGCTCGTTCGAAATAAATAAATAATGGTAACCGATGATGCGGAGAAGAACGTTTCTTCTTTTTCCTTTGAAGGGATTGAATCCGAGGAAAGAGTTTCAAAGTTCTATCGATACTGTATCAAATTTGTGACTTTTTTATTTTTTATCTCGAGCAATATGGTTTCTTTTCCAATAGCGCGAAGAGTGATAATTGATGAAAGAAGAAAAAAAAAAAAAAAAGGAAAGGAAAAAAATACGCGTAATCCCTGTGGATACAGTTGAAAATAAATGGTCACCGATGAATCGAATTTCCGGTTGAAATCCTTCGATTCTAGATGAATGCGCTTTCACGTTGTTCATTCAATTCGTATTGAAAAAGCGTATTGAAAGTAAAGAGAGAAACGAGAGTATCATCGATCGTGATCTCTTGGTTTTTATCTTGGTTCGAGTGTCGGAATTTTTCGAAAAAAATACGTTTCATAATTCTTCACTTTCTGAAATATAATTAAACCGTCGATCGTCGATCTTCTCGCTGAAAAATGAAAATCAATCGATATCATGGGTCCAAATAATTTCTCATTTCAAACGAATTAATTAATTAATTAATTTAAAAACTCACAAATAATAATAACAACGAATCGAGGGATTTATTGACAATCGTTTCAACGAGATTTATCTCGGTGGACGAGATAAAAATTCGCATATGAAATATCCACGAAAAAAGGAACGAACGAAATAAAAAATACACGTCCTCCATTTCCCACTTACTCACGCATCGAGCATTCTTCGCGTATCGATTCGCGTCCCCTTTGAAGCCAACTTACACGCCATTACACGCCCTTCCTTTTTCCCATTTCGAGAGCTCCCCCTTCGCGAAATTCGCGAATCGATTCGTGGAAACAACGGGGTCAGTGGTATCCGACCGAGTATCCCAGACAGTTGGCCCAAAATCGGTCCATCGTGTGATAGAGATGGGGGAAGACGTTGCCGAGCGCGTGCGCCTCGTCCGTGTAGGTCTGCTGCTGGAACATTATGTCGCTGTTCACCAGGGCCTTGTTCAGCGCCATGCTCTGCTGGTAGTGCACGTTGTCGTCCGCTGTCCCGTGTATCAGCATGTACCTTTTCCCACGGATACCCTCCACCCTTCTGCTCACGTCCGTGGCGTTGTAACCGCTCAGGTTGTCCTCGGGGGTGGGCAGGCCCATGAACCGTTCCGTGTACAAAGAATCTACGGTTGGAGAAAACTACGATCGGTGAGAAATATATGGAATTCGATTCCATCCCAAGAGAGATAGATCACCGTAATAGATCCAGGAGGTGACAGGCGCAACGGAGATGCCGCATTTGAACACCGATTCGGTGTCGGTGGCCAGCACCATGGCGGTGGAGAAGCCGCCGTAACTCCAGCCCCATATCCCCGTCCTGTTCGAGTCGATCCACGAATATCTCTGCTGCAGGGTTCTGAGGAGGAAAAAACGTTTTCTTTCAATTGTTTAACACGTTCACCCATATACGCTTGCTTCTTCTTCTTCTTCTCCAAAAAATAAGATTTTAACCGTTTATATCTGTATTTGAGAAAGTTATCGATCAAGTAAGAAGAGCCTTCTAGAATGTATATTAAAATTATATTATATATAATTTTATTATACATATATTATATATTCATGTGAATATAATGTATAATAATAAAAATGCAGGATAGCGATTATACAGGTAAGCGACATGTAAATATACTTCAGGGAATTGAAAATTTAAGAATAACAGAAAATATGGGGCAAATATGATAGTTGTTAGCGAATCATATTCTGCATTTTTATACGATTTTAAATCTAAAATTATATGGCGTATGTTAATGTAGAAGGGTGTTGTTACCACTGATAATATAGAAGTGAGTTTAAGATGCCAATTAGAGGCATCTTATATTCATCAAAATGCTTAAACCTGACTTTGGAAACGAACGAAGTAGGGAGCGAAGAAGTAGAGGAAACCGAAAACAACTAATTCAATATTACAGAATTGAAGACTAAGAAGACGGCTCTCCGACAGTGACATTTCCCCCCCGCGAGGAAATCACGCGTTAAAAAAGGAAGAGAGATCGAAGAAACGTGCCTCGTGACGGCGATCTGATCCTCGATCTCGACGGTGCCGAGCCGCCGATAGATCTCGAACAGCATCTTGCTCCCTTTGTAGGCCGACCCGCGCCCGTCGATGCGCCCATAAATCACGCTCCTGTTCGTCACCATGTACGCCTCGAACCCGAACGTCGCCTCCTCCGTGATCCTAACGGTGTTCGGCCCTGCGTAGCTGGGGAATTTTAAGAATTTCAAGGAATCACCCTGGGATGGATTCTTCGTCACAAGGAAGGTTATCTATCCAGGAAGGATAAATATATTCTGGAGAAATTGAAGCACTTACACGTTGATCAACAGGGGATACCTCTTCTTCTCGTCGAAATCAGGGGGCAGGTAGAGTTTCACCTTGCTCGTGTACCCGTTCGCGTTCACGTTAAGATTCTTGAGGATCGGACGCGCGCGGCCGGCCAGCTTCCTCCTCAACGATCGATTCTCCTCCCAAATGAAGATCTGCCTGTGGTTGGCGTTCATGATCGTGACAAACACTGGATCAGGGCCGGCGCAATACAACGCGTAGTGCGAACCGTTCACGGAGAAGTAGGCGTACGCGTAAGTGCAATGGTTCCCTGATGAGAAATTACAATCTATTTTCACCTTTAACGAAACTACGTTTCATAAATGAGAATACTTTAATTGAAATTAATTGAGTGTGGTTCGATCTATGGAATGCAATTCTAATGTAAATATAGAAATAAGTTTACTTTGCGTAGCTTATGACAATCTGTTATTTTTGAATAAATGGCAGTTTCCAAACTACAGTTTCACAACGGGAAAATACTTATGCTCTCTCATTGGTTTATTCATGGAGGACAAAAATAATTCTTGGACATTGTTGGAACGCTTATTAAACGCTTACCCTCGGGGGTGAGAAGCTGGCACGAGAGGCAGATGGGCGGCTCGTCGCCGGCCAATTGCACGGAGTACAAATTTTTGTGGGAAGGTTTATCGAGCTCCGTGCCGAGATAATAGAGCGTGCTCCTCGCGTGGTCGACGAGCAACAGGGAGACGACTTCCCTCGTTCCTGGGGTCAAATCGGTCTCGCCTCGTAGCACACCGTTCTTATACTCGAACCTGGTCGCGTGCAGGAACCGTCCCGCCTTCGTTCCCGAGTCTTGAAGCTTCACAATGATCACATATTGGTTGTGATAGAGGGGCGGTTGGATACGAAGCCAACCCTCGGTCTCCTCCTCGTAATAAATATTATTAGCGTTACCCTTCGTGTCGTAGACCACTATTTCAGCCTTGTTCTGCACCCTGTTCGTCCACGTCGCCACAAACTCCCCGTCCCTCCTCCAGTTCGCGGTGTAAAGAACGTTGTCTCTGCGAACGAATACCCGGAAAATTCCTTCTCCTTCGTATCGAACAAAATCTGTCGCTCGATTTTTGTGATACTCACGCTCCAACGACATCGACAGGCGGCCCAAGATCGATCGACTTCGAGGAGGGATCGTGCAAGTCGATCATGCTCAGGGACACGAGTGGGTTCGTAGTGCCCGCCTAGAATTTGAAAAGAAATGTAGTATTTACAAACTTTATCATATATCGTTTTGCAAACAGGTATAATAAACAGAAAAATAATTATATTATTTTTACAATTTCATTAATTTTAATCGCATACCTTTGGATATTTTATCTTCACCTCCTCCGGGTATTGATACTTCAAGTTTCCAGGGGGGCCGTATCTGGATATTACGACATCGTGCACGCCGGTGTCGTTGAACGTGGCGAAGGCGAGATGTTGGCCATCGGGCGAGACCCAGAACGCGACAGGCGAAGCCAGCACCTCTTCTGCGAAGTTCATTGGTTAATATTCGTTTGTTACTCGATTCAAGGATCATTGTCGATTCACCTTCGTAAACCCAGTCGGGTATCCCGTTGAAGACGACGTCCGGCACGCCGGTGTTGGTTATTCTTCGCACGTGGCTGCCACCCTCGAGGAACACCTGATAATAGATATCGTTCTTGTGAACGTAGATCAAAGCGTTCCTCGTGGGCGACCATTTGAACAGAGGTATTCGATCGCCATTCGCGATATCCGTGAACGTTCTGCGATAAAAGGAGGAGAAGGGATAATTTTTATAAGAGGGAGAATAGTTTTTGCTTTTTCTTTTTTTTTTTTTTTCGCGAAATTTTATTATTTCCAAGCAACAATTCTTTTCATTCGTGACACAAGTATATATACATATATACATATACATATATATATATATATTTGTATATATGTATCGTGACGTTAATATTATCATTATTGCCAACGATACGATATCGTTTCGAAATTTGATTTATCAGCGGCGTTTACGATCGTAAGGTAATATAAAGATAGATAATTCACCTGGATTTAATGTTGTACACGGTGCACTTTTGGTATATCGAGTATCGAAATGCCTAGAAAACGTTCCCAGAAAGGGAATGGTAAATTAAAAAAAAAAAAGAGGGAAAAACAGCAAATCGCATTATTGATTAGCATTATTTGCAAAAAAAAAAAAAGGAAAAAACTCACGTTTACGTAGTCGTGGCCAATGGCAACGTGGGAATTGTCGAAAGAAAACATTACGGTCGCTTTATCGAAATCGGCCTGAAAACACGATACAGTCAATTAGGGGGGGGGGGGAGAGGGGGGAGTTTTAGAAAAGTGAGTGAGTCGAGAAACGTGAATTAAAAGAAAGAAACAAAATAATAATAATAACAATAATAAAATCGTTGAAAATACCTCGTGAAAGAGAAACGATCACGAGGTATTCGATCCGTTAACCGTCCCGTTTCATCGACATAATGGTAACAGGAAATGAACGCTAATAGCGCATCGGTAGTAATCGACATTCAGGAGCGAATATATGGCACGTAAAGGCAAATACGCCGGAATGAATCGATGTTATTGATTTCGTATACGACGAATTCTCCGATGGGAAATCTCTATCTAAATACTTAAATCCGCGAATGTGTGTATATATATATGCCGATAGAGTTGTATCTAAGAGTCTCTGCGAACGTTATCGAACGAGAGGCGAAGGAGAACTGAGCGGTGAAACTAAGAGCGTGTCTCTGTTAAATCAACAACGATTCGACACCTATTGAAGGAGAATTTCCATGACGGATTAATTAAACCGTGTTTAATTAATACGCAATTTGTCCTCGAAATTGAAACTCAAAATTTTTCCTCGAAAATTTGCCCAAATAATCAAAGTCCACACTCTGCTTCTCTTCTCCTCTCGGGATCTCTCTCTTCCTATCGATCGCTTACTATAAATCGTTCCTTATAGGGTAATCCGCGAGAAAGGGAAGCAAATCGTACCGTGACGGAGGAATCGAGGAGAACGGTGCTGATTCCGCTCGTCACATCGAACAGTCGAATATCGCCCACGTAGTTATCCGAATAAAGGATCTCCCTGTCCGTTTTCCAGCTACCGTTGAAATTGTTCGGCCGGAAGCTTTGATCGTAAGTCTCCTCCAGGTTGAAAGGGACCCTTGCACCCTGATGATCCTCCTGTTCGAGGGGCTCGTATCTCTCCAAGTCCTGGTCGATCACTCGTGGAACTGAATAATGAGAAAAATAAGACACTTATTTCGGAGCTTCTTTTCACGAAATATGGAAAACGGAGAGAAATCGATGTAGCTAGTCGTAGCTCCAAGAGAGAAACAGACAGATTAATCGCGGGTTCGTTATTCATTAACTGGCCGATCAATAACGTCGTGATCTCTCCCCCCCGTGTTTACAAAATTCGAAGGTGCAAAGGACGACATCTTAATCTTGATTTTCGATGGAAGCATAAGAAGTTAAATAAATCGGCGGAGGGAGTTTATTAAACCCGATCTCGAGGTCCCTAAGCGGCTCAACGGAGGCACGATCATCTCAAAGAGGCGGAAGACTTACTGGATTTTCCAGCAACAAGGACGAGCAGCGATCCGTGCACCACCAGCACCAGCTGCACCAGTACCTGGAAAACGTTTCATTCTCTTCAGTTCGGGAGAGAAATATATATGAAAAGGAAGGGGAGGAGGAATTCTAACACGGCCTCCTTCTGGCTGTGTCGAGACATCTTGTCGTGCTGCAGAGGGGAAAAAAGGAAGGAGGAGTGTACGTATTGATTCCTCCTCGATTCGTTGCTCAGCTAGACGCGCAATTTCTTCGAAACTTCTTACATCCAAGTTGGAACGGCTGGAAACCTAATCGATGGAGGGAAAAGTCGCGAAGGGATCGGACGTTTTCTCGTCGCCCGTCTTTATCCGAGGAAACTGGTTAAACCGTACGAAAGAAGGAGGGGGAGGAGAACCGGTCGAAGGACTGGTTGTGGTCGCGAAAAATGCGCGGATAAATGGACGGGGCCAACTCTGTCGATCCTTCGAGTTTAGGGCGATGTTTAACTCGATGTTTAGCGGATCTGACGCGTTACAAAACGCGTTTCCCATCGAAGGAAAGTTGGACGAATTTCAATCGATTATTTGTTCTTCCTCGAATCGGCCGGTTTAGTGTCTGTCCACGATTCACGATAAAATGGCTATGATAAAACGTGTAACTCGAAAGGCACTGGAAAAGTTTTTAAAACTTTTGCACTGGTTGGATAGCGATAAAATTAAATTTTTCCACCGGTTAAAAATAGAGTTGGAAACGTGTATTATGCTCGCACGTGTTCGAAAGGAAAATGAAATGAGTTCGATTCAAAAAAGGATGAAGGAGAATTTAGTCGGTTTAAAATTGTGAACTCGTATTTTCTTTGTTGTTGTTGTTGTTGAAATTGTATGGAAATCGTCCTGATTTAATACCCCTTTAACGAGTATTTAATTATTTATATAAAAAAAAAGAATACAACAGGTGGAACAGCTTCGATGGAAAAAAGAAAATAAAATATTCCATCTGTTATTAAACCGATCAAAATTGTACATTTTACAAGTTAACCTCCATCTTATCTGGTTCTCTTGCTGAAAAACTTTTCCAACCAACACTTCCGCTCGTTAACGGTTCCTGCGTTCGACACGTTCCCTCGCGTGGCAATTTTCACGATTTTCGAAATCCGTTTTCCGCGACCTTCCATCGAGAAGCAGCAACATATCCGTCGATCGTGCCCTAAAAGATGAAAATAACTCGAGAAGCAAATATATCGAATTTGATCGAATCTCGTTACGTTCAACTACATTCGCACAACTTCACTCGAAAGCGTTAAAAATTAAAAGACACGGATAAAAGGAGATTACGAATGACCATATCTCTTCGAAGTGAGGAGGAAAAACGAATAAAGATCTCGTCTTTACAACGCTTTTATCCAACGACTTAATAACTTAAAACACTTATCACTGATAGCAATAAAAATAAAACAGATATCTATCCGACCTTCACCTTCCCCTCAACTTTGAAAAAGCCTTAAAAGTCTCTCTCTCTCCAAACCCGAATCTCGACCAATTTCCTTCCAATCCTTCCAACAACGAACGAAGCGAGAGGAGGGGGGAGGAGAAATTGAAACCCACGCGAGAGGGCATCCACGCTTCCTTCCTCGATAACCTTACCCTGTTCCACGGCATGGCGACCACGTGGCGGCGTTCGTGTTCCCTGTGCTGGCTCGTTTCAGTGAGTGAGAGAGGATGCCACGATGGATGCCACGGGTACGTCGAACACCGACTGATCCATCACGTAGTTTTCCAACGTGACGGAGGCCGCGATCACTCCCACCTTCGGCCAACCAACATCGTATCTTGATGCCTCGTTTTCCCGTTTCCTGGCCTTCGTCCATTCCGCGAAGGCAAATCCCCTCAAGTAAACAGGGAAATATTCTTTCGGCCCTCCTCTGAAATTCGAGGGGAAAGAATGGAACGAGTCGAAATCCAGTTGCTCGCTCGAAAAGGATGATCGATATATCAAAAGTAGGTGTAAAAAAAAGTAAAAGAAGAATGGTGTCTCGAAAATGTGATATGTATTTTTTTTTTTTTTAATTTAAGTGCTCGCTATCCTCGAATCTTCTTACAATCTCTCTTTTATCTCCCTCGTTATCTCCCTCGGTTGCCCAATGTTTATCACGACGATATCGACTTGGCGCTGTTCGATCGCTGTTCACAACAAAACAACCGTAATCTCCTCCCTCCCTTTGCTCTTCTTCCAATAATAATCGATAACGATGCTTTTTTAAAAAATGCAGCGTAAAAATTCCGTTATCCGTCGAGGAGCGTGAAGGATGCACGTTGAAAAAGGAAGGAGAGAGTGGAAAAAACGAAGGGGAATTCTTGCCCCGTCGTCGGTTCTGTCACCGTATAATCCACGGGCCAACGTGTCGACAACTTGACATTGGCGAATTCGAGGAGACGATACTCGGTCGATAAGATTGGCGAGTAGGCGAAATTATCGGGTCATCTTTCTCTTGCGCGGCTCAGGTTTCGCCGAAATTGTAAAAATCGTTCGATCTTTCGAGGCAGGCTATACATTAGTCGCGATTAGGCCGTTAGAAGGCGATAAAGAATTTAATTTCCGCCGAATTGGTGGAAGAGGAAGCTCTCTGATGGTGTGGACGTGATTCGTGTCGTTCTCGAGCCAGTCAATCTTTCAATTGCTAAGCTTATGGAAAATTACTTCTATTTTATACGTCGGAGAACGATACGGCACGCGTTGTTCGATGTTTCCTTCGTTTCCAACTTCGAAAACAATCTTGAAACTTGTTTGCGATACAGAAATTTTACGAAATCTCGTTAAAAGTGGGAACTCGCGAGTTTCCAAAGTTTCTTTCGAACCGAAAGAAGGCGAAGGCACGATCTTCGGTTGTTGTTTCGTATTCTTGAAAAAAAAGAAAAAAAAAAGTGATGACATCGAGGCAAAAAATAAAAAAAATAAAAAAAGTGATAATTCGTATCGCGCGTCGATCAAGTTCCGCATACTTTTGCTCCAATTAGCAATGTTATTTACGAAGGAGATAATAGGCAACCGGGTCTATCTGGCCGAGATAAAGAGCGTAGGTGGTCGCAGCGAGGACGCATCGCGTATGATAACTCGTTAGGTCAATGCCGTGCGAGGCACAACGTTTGTGGAGCAAAGTCGAGGCGCGAACTGTTGGGCGGAATCGCATGGAAGTACGCGCATCTTTCAAACACGTTTGACACGGTTCACGGTGTGACGTAGCTCGGAAGAGTGCCGGAAACAAGCCGCTTATATCGTCGACCTCGACATACCCAATCAACCAATCTTCGTTGAATGCCTATTGTTCCGGTATTTCGAGCGTGATAAAACCCAAGCTGGCTGATATTTCTATAAATCCTATCAATTGGTTTATAGAAATACCGTCAGGAAGAAACAATTGCGCGGAAACAAAGAGTTTGTGGGCGATTATATTTTATCCTAGTTCTAGTTGGAAAAATTTTGAAAAGAATTGTGAATCTGAGGGAGGAAAATTGGACTGGAAAATCCGAAAAGATGAGAGTGATTTAGAGTGAGTACGATTTTAAAATTCGCGACGAGGGATGATGATTTTTAAAGGAGAGAAAATAAGGATCGAGGATATTAAGAATATCGTAATATACTATAATATCGTAATATACGTTAATATGATGTAACAAGATCTCGTTTCTCGAGTGACGTCATCCCTTGTCGATCGAGTAATCGCTCAAGCGCCTGCGAGTATGCAACCGTATTTCCTACCGATAGATGTCTCTACTACACAATTCGATAGATTCCGATAAAAAACTTATCGACGATCGATTCTCGAAATTTGACTTTCATCCGTACAAATTTTCTCCCATCTAAAATATCTTTCATCGATCCGTTTATTAATTCTTGCGAAAAACGAGTAAACTCGTCGAACCGACGAGTTTTCATTCGGTGCTCTTACCCGTTAATCGAATGCGAAATAATTCCCACCAGATGGCTATAGCTTCACGGCAATCGATGAGAAACAATTCCACCGATCGATACGAAATTTAAACGCGATTCAACACGTTCTTACGTTTCCTGCACGTAAAACGTAATACAACACGCGATGAAACGACAATTCCAATAACACTGATCAACGAATTAAACGAAGCATCCAATAATCCAATTTTCTTCGATGTATCATCACCTCCTAACAATCGTAGCAAATCGTTCCAAAATAAGCCCGGACGGAAAGTTTTCTCAAACTCTCGTGTAAAAACTCGATTCTTCCAACCCGCTGCAACTCGGTGACGTCGTAATCCGGAATATTTCTACCCTTTCGTGGGCGCGTTTACTATCGATCGATCCTAACGCACGCGGCACTCGTTGCCACGAGTCGCGAAATCGTCTAGGCGAAGCGAGAGAGGGAGAGAGAGGGTGCAAAAACCCACCCCCCTCGCGATGCCTCGCTATAAGTACCGGACACGAATCGAGCGCGGGCTTATAGGTCCGGTTGCGGTCTTCCTCGTTCGTTCTTCCTCTCCTCGAGGCGGATCCCGGGGGCCATCGAACGGTGATCTATGAATAGATCCCCAGATCCTCCACTGCCACCATTTTGATTTCGATTGACGAGACGGCGAGAAGGCACGTGGAACGTTCGAGAGGGGCGAGGATGACAAGGTCGCCGGCCGATCGTGGACGACACAGGCAAGTTCGACCCCGTCGGTGGGACGCTCGGGGCTGGGATCCATGCTGATGATACGTGATGCCGATTCGAGCCGCTCGGGGCGGAGTTCTTAACCTTCTTCCGACAGGATGAAGAACAGCAAGTCGTTGATGGACATCGAGGACATCTGCGGATGCTCGAGGCTGCCCTCGATCATCCCCAGAAAAGAGTTGCCGCACTTGAGGTCCACTTCCGGTAAGTTTTGTGCAAATGCAGAGAGAGAGAGAGAGAGAGAGAGAGAGATTTTTGGTAATATCTGATCATTCGGATCGCGAATTGCGCGGAGATTTATTTATTGAACATTTTGTGATTTATTTATTGCGGAGTGTCGAGATCGAATTTAAATTTTATGCGTGTGATTTTTTTCACGATTTATGTATGATCTACGTTTATATTTGCGATTCCTCTTGAAATTTTTCAAGAGGACAGATTCCATTTCGCCAATTCTTGCCAATTTCTTCGAACTCGATCTCCGAAATTTTCGTTCTTTTTCGTTCTTCCATTTCTTTTTTTCTTCCATCCTTCGAAGCTCTTTTCTTCCTTTTTGACACGAAATGATCTTGTTAAATTTCTTTAACGTGATTTCTGTGGAAGCACCATCGATGCTGGCTTGCGCCAGTTTTTTTTTTTTTCACGCCGCGATACACGCACGTGTTATAACAAGCGAGTTAAGCTTAAATTAACTTGATAACTTGAAACTTTGAGACATATCTGTAAACATTTTTTTATATTTTATTAAATTTTTTCTTTAATCTATTCTTCATTTAAAGGGCTTGGAGTTGAACGTTGAAGAAGCTTTTTTTAAACGAAATGTATGTATCGATCTGATAATGGATAAAAAAAATTTTTTGACTTCATGCAATCTCTAAGACTTTTTACGTCATGGAAAAATTGCAACAAAGGGGCGATCGATATTAACACACGTGCTCTCGAAGGAAAGGAAAACTTGAACGATCGATAGAGTTCATAACAAAAACTACCGCATAAAACGGTTTGAGTGAAAATATTAATTCGAAATCTTCTTTTTAAAATTCACGATCTCTCTCTCTTTCATAATTTTTAGAATTCCAATTTTATTCACACTTTATTTTCCTATAGATTTTAAGAGTCGCTCAAAAATCTTGCTTGTTGAAATTCGTTTCTTCTCTTTTCTTCGAATTTTCTTTTTTTTTTTTTTATAATACTAGCACTTTTCGCATTTCCTTCTTGAAATTTGTACATTTAACTTTTCCTTTACGCATTTACGATTTTAATCCCCCCCAGAAAAAAGTTTATCGAAAAAGTTTGCAAAAAAAAAAAAATGTTATGGATGGATCAGACTGTTTTATCGTTTCATATTTCACGTTTTATGATGCATTTTATAAAGCTAATAATAAGAAGTTTCGAAACATCTTTGGATGGAAGAGTGTCTATAAAGATCGATTTAACGTCTCACGAGATTATATATTTTTCTACCGTTGGGACAAAATAAACATCAATAAAATCGATATACTATGTTGAACATCTGTTCATGCTAAAATAGCCTGGCTCTCACAATTAACTGGTGTAAAAATACTCTCGATGATCTTGATACTTCTACTGCTAAAAAAAAGAAGAGAGAGAGAGAGAGAGAGATAAATAAACAAATACACGAATTTTAAAAAAAATCTATAATTCGAGTGGATTTTTCCTAAAAATAAATAATTCGTTTTTGACTTCAACTCTCCTGCTATAACGACTCGAAAAACGACGCAAGAGAAATAAAGAAAGGGAAGAACAGATTGTAAGAAGGGAGAACGAGAACAGGGTTGACGATGAAAAAGAGTCAAGACGTCGACGACTCTCCTCGTCTTAAGTGCTACATTTCTTTTTCTCCCGTTGCCTCCACGAGACCGGCCTCCCTCCACCTCAACTTTCGTTTCTGGACTCTTGCTCGTCAGAAGCCTTGAATTTAGTTGTTAACCGGTAGTGCTCACGCTTCCTCGTGTATTCCCTCCCTGCCTGGAAAAATAAGAATAGCTCTCCACTTCCTTTGATCCACCGTTCCCCGACGAAATCTCTTGGAAACGCCAGTTTCGATCGTTCCTCGCCCACGGCAACACGCGTCTCGAACTCTACTTCTCCCTTTTTCTCGAAGCGACCGATTCTTCTCTCGATGAAATTCGATCGATGAATGAGCTTCAAAATTTTGATCGAAGCTTCGTCGATTAATTAAAGAACAGATAATATAAAATAAACACGATCGGTCGAGAAAGATTCCATTTCGAATCGATTTTCTTCTTAAAGTGAACTCGAGGATTTTTTTCTACCCAAAACAAAAAATTCCGTTCCGAAGAATCATGCAGACAGAATGAACGCGACGACCAGAAAAATATTTTGTTGGTGACAAAGGGAAGAACACTTTCACCGTGGTCGTCGCGATGTAATTAAAAAGCGCCACGAGTTTTCCAACGCCCGAGAAGAAGTGAGTGAGGCGAGCACTCGCTTAGCTTCGCTGTGTTCCATCACCTCCACAGGGTGTCGCTTTCAGTCTCCTGGCCGGGGCCCCAAGCAGGTGTAACACGGCGTTTCCATTCACCGTGACGTGGTGCCCTGGAACGGACCACTGTGCACGCTTCTACGTCTTCGAAGGAAACGTCCTCTTGTTTGCTCGCCGCTTTGCAAACACAAACCTGGCTCGACTACCGAAAGTGATGAATATGCCGGGAGCACACGCGCTGCAAAAGGAACAGTAATCACCGTTGTGCGGATCATTTTATCGCGAGCTTGTGGCAATATTTAGCGTGTAAAGGCAACTATTTTCACGAAAGAATGATCGTTGTTCCCTTCTGTCGCTCTCGTACGCGATAATAAAAATATAAATGAAGGAGGGGGGGGAAGGGGGAGAAAGTGTGAAAATGCGTGATTTGTCGATACTTCAAAATTCGGCTCTTCAAAGTTTGAGTTGTGAAGAGTTTATAGTGAACACGGTGAACACAAGAAGAGCGTGAAAATGGTTTTCTTCGGGAGAAAGGAGAAAATAGAGGACCGGCGATTGCTGGCCAGCATCGACGCTGTGAATGGCGCCAAACTGTATCACATAGAAAATGGTAAAGCCACGATAATAATAATTCAACTAAGGCAAAGATATTTTACGAATTTGTTCTAGTTCTTTTTTTTTTTTTTTTTTTCACTTACTTGGAAATCGAGGAATGCTCGCTGTGCCTACGATTTCCTTGAAAATTAAGGTCTAAAATATTTAGTCTCGCGATTTTACGAATCCAAGTATTTCCTCGGTATTTTCTCCAGCTCGGTCCGCGCTGCGAACAAACTTTACCCGTCTATCTAAATATTATTCCTCCGCGTTTACGTATTTCGTTTCTGATCCTTGGCGAATCAAAATACCCTCTTGCAAATTTATTCGCTCCCTCTTTATTTTCTTTGCTCGATTTTATATTAAAGAAATAAATAATCTAAAAAGGAAGGAGACAAAGAAACGACTATAACTTCTGTCGAAAAATATTCATCATCGTCGTTCCTTTTGGCGTCAAACTGGTTTAAAAACTTTTATCTTTTTTCTTCTCTCTCTTTCTTTCTCACTCTAAACCAGACGAGAAATAGGTCGAGGCGCTCTGGAAAGACGATACGCCATAGTCCGCCTCTATGCATTCGTGGTTCGATAGCTTGGTGTAGCTACATGCATTTATCATGCAAACGTTTCCTCGCCGACATTACTTATCGTCGTACATTCGAGTGGCCAGTCATCGTTTATCACAGCCACTCGAACCTGAAATACGATCCTCCTTTCGATAATTAAACATCATAAAGCGTGGAGATACAATTGGTTTGACGAGTTGCCTCCCCGATAAATTCTCTCTCTCTCTCTCTCTCTCTCGAAATAAATACGTTCCTCTTGAAAATTGTTCCGAACGAGAGTGAAAAGATGGAACGAAGTCCGATTGTGGCACTAATTAGCACGTTGCGAATGGATTCAATGTTAATTGACACCAACTGAAAACTATTGTTAGCGGCACAATGATTCTTTGATCCTTGAGCTTGCTCTAGATTACAGTTCATATGTTATACGTATATTCGTATAACAAGTTAAAATCGAGAATTAAATAATTCTCGTCAATTAGGCCGCTTGATCTGAAAAAAAGAAAAAATATATAAACCTGTCGTTAACGGTACTGCCAGCAATGCGTGTCGAATTCGAAATCTGATCTATTCATTTATATGTATGAAGGAAGAAGATAATAGGATCTTGGCGTAAAATTACATTCATAATATCGAATAATTATCAAAAATTTTTATTCAAGATCAAATTTTCAACGATACGTTACCGCTATTTTGATCCACAAGTTCATTCAATTCGATAAATGTAAGATAAAATCAAAATTTTACTTCAGAATTTCTTTTTTCTTTTCTTACATAACCTGCAACAACAAAACTTCTCGTCATCTTGACAAATCGAATCGTGTATAAAAAATCGTCTAATGAATTTTCTATTGTAAAATTAATATTGAAAAACGTCTCGTGCTCTCCGGCTCCAGCCACCTGTGGCTGTCCCAATATTGATCCGGCGAATGGCCACACCCGGCACCCCCTCGCGTCGCTCTTTTAGCACCCTGACGACGACGCTCGTGCCGACAGTGTCGTTGCCCTTCGCGCACGACGAGGTAACACGGTGTTATGGAAAAGTGCCTGGTCACTGTTCCAGCCGCCTTCATGCACGTACGCGACAACCTGGAGGAACTGGGCAAGGTGGCCGACGACACGGATCTGTTGTTTCTCAAAGGCCTCTTGGACAGCCCTGTGGTCACGTCTCTGGTTAAGGTGAGTGAACAACAGTTTTCGTATTCCAACTCCTCCTGATGTATTACATCATCTTCCTTCCATTTTCCTTTCAATCGTTACGATAAAATCTATGCGAGATCGATAATTTTGTTGAAATTCCCTTCGAATGATCGAAAACATTGTACTGCATTTCGAGAGAAGTTTTGAGGTTAATTCATATTCCGTTAAACGTTAAGAAGGTTATTTTCACAGACATTTTCCACGACAAAGAAATTGAAGGAATTTCCTGCGCTAAAATTAAAATTAACGTTTAGAAAATTGTTATTCCAAAGTTATTTAAAAGAGATTTTTTTTAGAAAAAAATATGCTTTCCAAGCGTATACCAGTGTGACTCTTGCGACGAACGTCGGCTCTTTAGCCGGCTCCTTAGATTTATTTAGCGGTTGAACGAGCTTAAAAGTTTTTCGATCTACCTTCGACTCGATTAATTGCGATCATTATTCGCGCTTGTGTATTATTTTTGGCATCGATGAATAAACAATAGCGTGCGTCGTTGGATCATGCGCGATGAGAGTGGATAGCTCGAGACGCATGCACGTGCCACGTGTTTACTATTACGGCCGCTCGATTTTACGAGATTGTTCATTTACGAGATTGCTCGTGTGCCGTGAAATCCTCGTATATATTCAACATTGTGAAACGAAAAACGTAACCCGTTCTCTTCGCCGCGTTCGGTAAAAATCCTTCGTGTCGTTGAACCCGTTTCTTCCTCGAGACTCGTCTGGGATCGGTTTCTTAGCTCGTTCTTATAAATAGGAAAGAGATACTCGCGTGCTGGAACAGCTGGCTTTAGTCCGTGTTGCTATTCTATCTTTTATTGTTCGATTGTTGCGCTTTGTTAAGAGAATTTTTTTATCTTCATCTTTTTAAATAAAATGTATTTTTCTCTCTCTCTCTCTCTTTTCACTTTCCAACGTTTTATCTTTTCTTTAATAAAAATATCACTTGGTTCGTTACGTGTAATTTTCTGCCACTGTTAACAAGTGTGTCGTCGTTCGTATTCGATTTCGTCTTCTTCAATTTTATAATTAATTACACCACAAATTTGTTTCACTCAACTTTTAGTTTCAATCTCTTGTTTCATTTAGCGGCATTTAGCAGTTAGAAAAAAAAGAAATAGTTTCGACAGCTGTATTCTGTTCATCAAGGTGCTATTGTGTCGTTCCATTGTTTAATCCACATTATACAATGTCTATCAATAATCGTTCCACTATACAATCCATCAATGTTCGTTTAACGCGTTATTTAAGCAGCTTACAAAAGATATTATCGTCTACACATCAACTTTTCAATATCTTGAATCTTATATCAAAATCGAATCTTGCTTCGTCTATAAAATTCTGAAAATTAAGCAACGAAATATGAATTTTTGAAAAGTACTTTATTTATACAATAAACTTATGAATTTAGAATATCGTTCTACCAACTATTAATTATCCTTCCAACAATATATTCATAAAAAAAAAAATTTGAATATTCATTCAAATTTCTCCTCTATTGCAACATCATCCTCCTTGTCCAACGATGAGTCAACATTTCATTATATGTAAACGAACGATTTCTTCGGAATTCAAGATAAGATAATTATACCATTATGGAATGAAAAAGTCAGATCGCAAGGTTCAATTGACGAAATTTTAGAAACAGGGTTTACACCAACTTCTTTTCACGCGTCGTTTGCATCCATGGCCACGCGAAACAGCCGTATTATTTCGGTCGTGACACAAATTTGCCGTGGAATCCATACTTTCGATGAATATGTTATCCGTCGAACGAGTGAATATACGTAAATCGTATAGCGACGCGGTCATCTACGTCATCTTTTCTCTCATCTTTTTCCTCCATCGCGTAATATATACGTGGAAATGTACAGTTGGTTCGAAAAATACTCGATCTCCTGAAGATTTTACGTTTATTATTATTCTACCATATAATTTTATTTTCTTTTTAAATAATTTTTAAAATATACCTAATTATGCGTTATATTATTCATTATCTTTTTACGAATCTATCTTCATCCATTACTAGTTAACTACGTTAACTAATAAATTTTTTGAAAAATGTGTCTCGATATTCTTGGGTAAAGTTCCATTGGAAGTGTTCCAACAACGGGTCAACTTCTTTTTCCTTGGAAATTCTCGGGGAACTATAAAAAAAAAAAAACTATAAACTTTGACGTTATATCTTTGAGAAACGTTCCAAAATGACGAGGAAAAATTCTTGGAGCCAGCCAGCAATATTCTCTTCGAAATATCCGTGACCCAAAATTCGTTCGTATTATCTCGTTCTCGATCGACTGCACGCAGCTTTCCTACGAGACGTTAAGGCTCGTCCACATGTACACGCGCCTTACGCACCTGCCAGGCCCACATTCCATTCTGAGCTCTCGGCAGGTAGAAGTCCCGTCTGGTGTCGAAAAGTCGTTAAGAAACCGGTGTCCGTTTCCGGCTCGACTCCAAGATAACAATAGGGAACAGTTGACAGAGACACGGTGAGACGGTGTGCCTTTTGAAAACCGTCGAAAATAAGCGTGAAAAGCGAGATCTAACCAAAGTAAATTTGACCGGCTAACCCGCCCGTTTGGGGAAAAGTGTGAGAACCGTGATTCTTTCCTATTTGTTTTGCTGCATTCTGTGAATAATTTGTGGGAAAATTAGCTCCTACGTTTTGTGTCTTAATCATACTCGGGGAGGAACGTCGTTAGATCTAATTGGGCTCAAGAATCGTCTCATAGCTTAAGAAAAAAATTCAAGTTGACAGAGTTAATAATCAAACCTTGACCATAATTTGTTTTTCGATAAAAGTAATACCTGCTTGCCCCCGCCACTAATAACCAACTCCTCTTCCGGTCTCCTCCCCTCCTCTTTTCCTCCTTCCGCTCTTCCCTCCAATCACCTTTTTTCACGGACGGCTCGCCGAAAAGTGGAAACCGCGAGGGTGCTTGCAGGGAACAAAGCCGCTTCCTGCGAAGCAAGGAAAGAAGAAGCAAAGCGTGAATCGAGAGGAATCATTCCGTGATCCCGTGGCCTCCTGTTAATCGTCGCCTAGTTTGATATCCGGCCTAATTGACCGCGAGGACCCGTCCAATTGGCCCGGAGTCATCGCTCATCTGACCCCCTAGAAATCGCGAGGCCGTCGCGTGCACTCGCATACACACACGATGTAATTTCAACCAGCTTTGTAATCGCGCGCGAAGGGACGACGAGCACGCGTGTGCGACACCGACGTCCACGTGTATGTGGGCAGGGGCGTAGCCGACCTCGCCGAGTGCCACGTGTGAAATATGGACGATGAAATTTTCACAATGCGTGGAAGAAAATTGTGATGTAAGATTCTTAATCGCGTCGTAATTCACGAAGCAAGTAATTTTTGAAGCGGAATTGTTTTAGAAAATATTCGTAAGGAGGATACGACAATTTGACAACAAACGTTTTTTTTTTAATTTTTTTGAACGTGCAACAAAGGTATACTGAATTCCGTCTTAATCATCAATGCGCCGCAATCTCGTTAACGTTACGGCAGCGATAGTGTCTTTAACACCGGAGCCATACGATCCCGTTGTATCGCGTAACGGATTATTGAGTATCTTGAGAAGGGTCTACCTGTGTCGCAACATCTACAAACCGATCGGTGTCGATGACCAGAGTTTCTTTCTTTTTTCCTTCTTTTTTTTTTTTTTTACATCGATCTAGCTGTAACCAAGTTGCACAATTCTTTAGATCGGAGACAATAAACGATCTCGAATTAGAGTAGCCGATTAGAGTAGTCACGAAAATATGTCCAAGGACATACGAAACGAGAGATTCGTCGGTGCGTGTACTTTCGAATAGCGTACGCAATCGGAATGTTCGAGTGGTGCAATCCCTCCTCTACCTCTTCTAAGATATTTAACATTCCTCGCAACGAGACACGTTTACATGTTACCACTTCGTTTGAACATCGTTGCTTTCCTGTCTCGAGAGACGCGCTAGAAGTCCCGACAATGATACCAGATAGATAATAATATTATCTGTAAGGTAACACGTTAACCTGTTCGAATCTTAAGATTCTCTACTTTTAAAACATTTCAAAGCATATCTTCTCATTCTATATATTCGATGAAACAAATTTTACCCAGTCGCGTGGTATGCAGTTGCAAATTTTCCAAAAAAAATGAAGCTTCACTTTCACTAAGCGAATTATTCGAACAAGATCGTGAAATAATTGTTCAAAAATGCGATTGTGTTTACAAATTGCTGCAAATTTAATGAAGCGATCGGAAAGAAGAGAGGGGAGGGGTCTGAATGTTGCGCGTAGACGGCCCTGCGCTAAACGTAGCGGAGTGTTGCATACCATCCGAAGAAGGGCCCCCACCTGTTTCAGACGGGCAGCCTGAACGAGCTGGCTCGAAGGTGGGGGCGAAAGAAACGTCAGTAGGCGCGGCAGTTTTCTGACGCCGCTTACCTAAGCAACACACACGGTGTGCGTGTCATCCAGGCCTTGCTCCATCCTCGTGGAATAATCTTTGTCAGTTTTTTTCTCCCCGTGGATCCAGGGCCGAGTGGAGCCCTCACGTCCCTGGCCGATCGATACGGCGTATCCAGTTGCAGGACAGCGGCCAATCGGTTCTCCAAACAGAAGCGTCCTAGCTGGGAGACAGGCGACCTCTGCCTCGGCGTTTCTTCACGTTTCGTGTGTAAGTCGCGATTCCTTTTCGATAAATTCAGACTGCCGCAGTTTGGGATAGAAATCTGGTGGATGGATCGATGGGGATCCTCGGCGTCGAAGGAGTACTGTTATCGCTACAGCGACACGTGAGATCGGGAGAAAGCGGGATTTGTTGACCGTTGGCCCCTCTTGGCGTCGTGTGATCAGCGGATCTCGAGATTGGGTGGCTGGATTTCGTAGACCGATCTGCGATCGAAACGTGAATTTTCAAAGATGAGGAATGTCTTTTAATGTCGTGGATGAATCCTTCTATTTGTGTACGTTTTTTTTTTTTTTCGTGGGAACGAGTGAATAACAGTTGAGCGCTTTCTTGGAAATCGTATGTAACAATCGTAACGATTGTGTTGTTCTCGTGATATTGTTTTAAAGAAACAGATTTGATTTGATTTTTTTCCAAAAGTATCGAAGTGGAAACGAAGCTAAGAGGAATGGTTATAAATGGTCGGGCAGTAGTAATTCGAATCGTGGTAATAATAAATAATTTACATAATATATTGATAACAAGGGACCTGCTATTTGTGCTCTTCGTGAACAGAAATCCTGGTGTTTGTTTCGCGAGAGGTTTTTTTCAGGGACGTCACGGAAGAACAGAAGAATTCATTATAGGTTGCAACGTTTGTTGAATACCAGCTGTTCTATCATCATTTCCATGATAAATGCGATATAATTCATATCCAGGTTAATGACAATCTTGCAACATATGGATAAATACCTTCGTTCAACGTCGAATTTCGATTAATTTGTACAGCCAATTTTTTCTTCCACTTAATTCTCTTCGAATCGTTCTTTCTTCTTTTCTTCTTGGTCGAGAAATAATTTGAAAATAGAAAAAATAAAAATATTAAAAAGATTATTCAAACAGAAAATCAAAGTTTGAGTTAATAATTCACAAGACGGGGAAAACAAACGTTAATGGAAAGGAATCCCTCGACTTTCGAAATCACACCGTCCTCGTAAATCACACTCTATTTTCCCAAGTCTCGAAGAAAACACGACTCGAACTTCTGTTCTTTGATGTTCCAAATTGTTGTGAGTTGATTTATGTCGTAAATGCGTGGGTAGAGATCGAAAAGTCAAAGTTCGGTGAAGATTCTTTTTTTGATACGCGAGCAATTTTTTCACAACCGTAATTCATATTTCCTCGATGCTGGAACTGAATCGTGGAAAGAAAAGCAGCGTGCATCTGCGATGCACATGCATCGACGCGAATGATTCGACGATGAATCATCGTGGCCGTGGATAACAAGCGGCTTCGACAGTTTCGCCAAGTAATTTCCATTCGCTTCGTATCAAACTCTGTAACAAAAAAGTTTTTTATCCCATTATTTTAACAACGTTCAAAAAAAGATTTGGATAGAAAAACTGTGATTGAAAAATCGTGGGATACCAGCTTCTCGCAGTGAAATGTTTCAGGTAACACTTTACACATTCTAGTACACGAGTTAATTAGACCGTCATTAAACACTCGTACTTTTCATTAAAATGTCATTATTGATACTTGTTATCTATCACGATCGATCATTATCCCTCATTAATGAGCAATCGAAAAATTCGAAAGATTGATCAATAGGCTATGAGTCAATAAGCATTGGCATCGAAAAAGGCTATTAACAAGTCTTTTATATTCATAATATCTCGTTGTATATGCGTGTATCATTCTTTTCATTATGATAATTCCGATGGCGTGGCGTAAAATTGTGTATGATATTATCATTTCTACGATATTGATTTTCCAAGTATCGAAAGAAAGAAATTATTCTTCAGAAAGGTGATTATTCTTTGGTTGGCGTGCACACGTCGCGGCGTTCAGGTATCAAGCATTCTCGAAGGTGGTTCTGAAACACCGACCTACTTTCGTAATTACTCTTTCATTGTTGTATCGTTGCATCGGCTGGCTCGATGGAGTACACCAGCCTTGCGTAGTCGACACTAATCCAATCAAACCTCGTTGACGCCGGTTCGTTGTTGCGCAATAATAATTTCACTTTTGACACAATTGGCAGAAAATTCTAATCATTTTTATCGAATTATAAAACTAAAAGGAGAGGGGCAAAAAAAAATAAGAGAGAGAGAGGAAAAAAATATCTTCGTGCACGATATGATTTGAGCCAAAAGTAGTCTAAGAACTTTCGTTTCTCTTCTCGACGAAGAGCAATCAAGGTTCCTCGTACGGTGAATTTAATGCGGAAACCCGTTTCGACTTTCACAACTGGCGATGGCGTTCACTGTTTGTGGCTTTGGCTGTGCTATACACGTAGCCCAGAAAGGAGATCGAGACGATGGGCTCTGACTTATCACGTCAATGAAAATAACATTATTTACAAGAACACCGTATCAAAATAATTTATACAATGCGAAAAATTCATATTTTGGAATCGATGATCAAATTTTTGGATTAAAAGTACCAAATAATCTCGCCAAGATAAACTTTCCAAGAAGTAAGAATCTAATCTGAGGATTTTGAAAGTAAAAAAAATCGAAAAAGTCGGCTGGACGAGACGAGACCGGAACGAAAACCAGTTCCTATGAAAGGTTAGCTCGACTAACTCGTGACTGTTGCAGGTCCAAGAGCGTCTGGAGGATCCTCCACTCCACGTGGAACCGGTATGCTCGTCCGTTTGTGATATCGTCGACGAGGTGTGCCACGCGCTCCGCTCCTCGAGGGACGAGAACGCGCGGGAGCTCGTGCGATTGCTGAGGAGCTCGCATCTGAAAGCGCTTCTGGAGACCCACGACGCGGTCGTCGAGAGGAAGGAGGCACCGCCATCGAAGCCGGAACCATTGTTACCGACGATGCCCACTAACGAGAGAATGGAAGCCGTGAGAGTCGTCGGGCTTAGAAGGCAACCTGATGAACCTCTGGTGAGAATTCGTATTGATAACAGATTTATACAGAATTTGGAAAGGAAATATTTGAAAATTTTTTCGATGGATTTGTAAATTTCTTGATTGGATCCCCCGAAAGTTGAGAATATTAGAGGATGTTTTTAATTTCTTATCGATTCGTGGATGACGAGGACCAAGAACTGTCCAACTTTCTCAATCGTGGATTCTAGTTTTAGAGGTTTACTGTTCCATCACGTGAGAAAATTCCCATACTCGCAATTCATAAATAATTCGGAACCATTTTATTATCCACGCAATGATTCGAGGCCACGTGGCTTCTACGATGAATCTAATACATTCTTTCAGAGATTAAAGTTCCAAACTTTATATCAAGAAAATGTTTTTCGTCCGAAAGGAATTGATTGTTCATTTTTTCATTTTATATTAAATTCTCGTTCAAAAAAATTATATTCCCTTATCCAAGTTTTTTTGAAACACATTTCATAGCACCAATCCTCCGCCAAATGTATTTTCGACAAACAAAAGTGCAAGAGTCGTGATCGTGAATATTCTCTTCCATCGGCGTTTATATTCAAATAGAAGCATTAAGTCTTCGTAAACAAGCCAAATTGTGAGAATCTACTAACAAAAATGAATTAGAATCAATAGAGAATCATCAATTGTTCTCTAAATGTATTAAATGGCAAACCTGGCCATGTTCAACGGAAACGAAGTTTATTTTCACTGGTCCGTTTTTGCACAGGGCCTAACAGTGCAAGTCAACGAATCTGGCAACTTGATCATCGCCAGGATCCTGGGCGGAAGCACGGCCGCCCGCCAAGGACTTCTTAGAACCGGTGAGGTGATTCTCGAAGTAAATGGAAAGGAAGTTCACAACCCTGAAGAGCTTCAGGAAGCCATTCACGAGGCAAAGGAGAATTTGTCGCTGAAGCTGGCGCCTGGTATCGCCACCGATGGCAATCGACCTGTGAAATCCACGGTAAGAGAAGGGTAATTTTTGATGTATATACAATATATATATATATATAATAAAGGACTTTCATTATTTCTTGAATAATTATTGAATAAATTTGAATTGTCGGAATTTGAAGTAGTGTTTGAAAATTTGTGTTTGTGCGGTACAAAAATATTCAAAAATATGTTTAATCCTCTTAAAACTCTTTACATTCATTTTAATGACGTCCATATGGAACATATGGTTTCAACGAACAGTTTATTAACATTACTAGTTTTAAATTATAGATTTTACTGTTTTGCTTATAAAATTTTGTCAATAGATAGAACCTGCTATTAAAGTTATATTCTAAATATAAAAATAATTGTTGAAAACTAAAGTAAATAATAGCACTTTGAGTACCATCGTTTTGGGTTTCACGTGTAAATAAATAAATAATAAAGTGAATTGAGAATGGTAAGCAAAAACACTTGTAGTTAGAATTGAAAAAGATTAAAATATAAAAATTTCACTTTAAAAATAAAAATCATGGAAAGAGAAAACAATTTAAATTTACAAAAATTTAAACTTTAAAAATAAGAATGGAAATATGAGTGGAAAAAGTTTTCAAAAACTATACAAAAATTAAAATTAAAACATAACTCCAGAAACAAACATAGCAAAATTAATAAAATAAAATTCATTCGTAAAAATACCTATTTTCCATTACAGTGTTACATGAGAGCGCTCTTCGACTACGATCCGTCAGAAGATACTCTATTACCGTGTAGAGAGATTGGACTTCCGTTCCAAAAAGGTGATGTACTGCAAATCGTGGATCAGGTGGATCCAAATTGGTGGCAAGCTCGAAGAGTGGAAGGTGAGGGTTTAGGTCCACCTGGGCTAATTCCATCTTTGGAACTGGAAGAACGAAGGAAAGCATTTGTCCCACCGGAAGCTGACTTTGTACACAAAATTAGCATTTGTGGGACCAAGATTTCCAAAAAGAAGAAAAGAAAGATGTACCAATCGAAGTCTAACGGTGAATTTGATAGTGCAGAACTTTTGTTATATGAAGAAGTAGCCAGGATGCCGCCTTTTAGACGTAAAACCTTGGCTTTAGTCGGTGCGAGAGGTGTTGGTCGTAGGACACTGAAGAATAGGCTGATAAATAGCGATCCTGAGAAGTTTGGTACCATTGTCCCGTGTAAATATCATAATTTTTATATGATGGTAAAATCTTGACTAAAATGATACACAAAATTGACGATTTATTCAATTGTAATCACATTTAGCTAATAACATATACAAAAATTCACTCTCAAGTATTAGAAGCTGTAATACTCACTGATATCGTTTTAGATACATCACGACCACCCAGAGTACTCGAAGAGGATGGCAAAAGTTATTGGTTTATCGATCGCGAATCGATGGAAACGGACATCAGAGAGCATCGGTATCTCGAATACGGAGAGCATGGTGGCCATTTGTATGGTACAAAATTGGATTCTGTGCGAGAATTAATTAGAGCAGGGAAAATGTGTGTTTTGGATTGTAGTCCAGCAGCTTTGAAAATACTTCATAACAGCACGGAGTTCATGCCTTATGTCATCTTCATAGCAGCGCCAGGAATGGAACAATTGAAATGGCTGTACGATTTACAAAGATCGACTGGAACGAGCAGTCGAAACTTGACGGTAATTATATAATTTTATAATTATAACCGGATATATTTTTTTTTCCTTTCTTTTTTTTTTTTTTCTTAATATAAAAATTATAAATTTGTTCTCGCTGTGATCAATATTAAAGATCAAAAAATCTATGTTTATGAAATATTATTTGCAAATGCTACTTTATTATTCATCTTATTGTAAATTGGATGAAAAAAACATTTAAATTTATTCTATATGAAACCAACTTCTATATGAGAAATAAAAAGGAGAAGTTTGAATAAAAGAATAATTTGATGGATGAAATTTGTATAAAAAAGAAACATATCGACGGCACAGATCGTTTCAAATAAACATTAATAATTATCAAATATTTTATGATACAATTTTTCAAATTTCTGTGCCTGCCAGTCTGTTTGCCGTCGTTGTGTAAATGCGTGTAATTTGCCTACTGTACATGTATCGCATGCACTTTGGTTCGATTAAAACGATTTATTTCTCCTATAAAACTCATTTTGCATAAAACTCATTTTTAAATATTATGTTCTCTACTCCATTTAGATTTATATTGAATATATTCTTACATATTTCCCATCGTACAAACTATGTAGCGTTCTTTATTTAATCTTTTGTATGTATTTGATGTTGGCTTTGCTAGTTTGACCGCCAGAGTTCCATCAGATACAGTTCGAGAAGAGCCAGAACATTGGAATCCCTTGCTTCGTTGTACGAGGTTTGTACTGCATGCAAATTCATTTTTTTCTTCATTTTTTTAATGTAGTGTAATTGCTTGTAGATACGTAGTAACCGCTAAAAATTTACCACTGTACAAAATCATATAATATTCAATGTATTCAAAGAGAAATCATTATCAATAAAAAACATACAATGATCAAATGTATTTAAAATTTTTACGTACCTCAAAATGTTCAATTAAATTAAATCTATTTCTTATTGATTCAGGAAGACGATTTGAAGGCTACGTTGGAAGAATCTGCGGCCTTGCAGCGTGCTTACGAAAAATATATTGATCTGGTGATTGTGAATGAAGATTTCGACAATACATTTAGACAAGTGATCGCCGCGTTAGATGCTTTGGCCACTGAACATCAATGGGTTCCCGTCAATTGGATATATTAAATATCACTTAAACTACCTAAGAAAACAAATAGTTTCAGAAAATTTGACTAAAACACTCGAAATTTCGAGTGAATAAATGAATTATTGTATTGTGAAATACGTGATAATGCGACCTTTAATACCTTATCAAGTTCGACGTCGAGTGCATCGTTATTACGATTATATTTATAGCATTGTGCAATGGGACAATTTTATGATCGTACTATGTGTATACAGAATTTTAGTGTGTTGTGTATATTGTCTAGATCGAATGTATAGATATTTTTAAGCGAATGACGCACTCGACTCGAATAAAGAAAAATATGGTATCCAAGGTTTTTCAAACGAGCAAAGAATTCTTTTATTGAAATGAAAACAAAAAGCTTTCAAATACGCCCACTGTGCTACTACGAATAGTGAAATCGAACTATGAAAGAGTTAATAAGAGATAATATCGATGACGTCGTTTCTAACAAGTACAATCGTAGAGCATTTACGTTATTTCGTTTTAAATTTACGAAACGATCCTTTTATCTTCTAAATTTTGTAAAAGATTTTTATATAAATAAGATATTTACTAGAAATAGATAAAGATATTGTTAAAAGAGACAAGAAAATAATAGAAAGATTACAAAAAATTGATGTAAATTTTGTTAACATTATGGTTAATTTGCTATAGTAATTTTAAAAATTTTCGCATACATTCCCCTTCATCGTTCAGAATAATTAATTAATTAATCATTATTAAAATATACATTAGACCGCCGTCCAATTATTTTTAAGATATATCTAGTTTTAATTTCTCTTAAATCACGAATCTGTATATGTACGTTTATTATCATTTATTTACCATTTGTCATACATGATGTATTTTCATTTCTTTTAGAGATATCTATATATAAAACATTATATATTATATATTTCATGGATCCTGTTTGTACCGCTCGTGCACCTTAAATATATTCCTGGCATAGAGTGCCTTAATAGCGCAACCCTTTAATTGGCTTGCGGCGAAGACCTACTATGTCGAGATATTCTCTTATACTCGAGAGTTTTACATAAGACATTTAATAATATGTTTTTTCTAATACTCTAACCCATATTCACACGAAAACACAGCTATTGCAAATTGCTGTATACGCATTTAATCGGATAATTCCGATCATGTCACGTGATACATGGAAAAATAAAATTTATCGAGCGTTTGTTACGAATTTGAATTAATATTACCTTCACTTTCGTCATTTCCATTATCCTTATTCATCTGGAATTATAGATTATGATATTTTTGAGTACTTTACATCTTATATCTGTTGTTTCAGTTTCTACTTTACGAATTGCAAAATAAACATTTTAATTTTATGCAAACGAAATAATTGTAGTAGTTGAAGAGGTTATTTTATATTTAAACACTTTCTATATTTCTACAACGTTTACTTACATTTGTTAAAACAATTTTGAATATTAAAAAATATAAATTATAATGCTTTTACTACTTCAATTCTCAGTAAAGTAAGTAAACTTGAACTTGAATAATTATTCATTCAAAATTATAGAATTTTTGAGTAATAATCTGCAAGAAAAGAATTACTTTAGTAAAACAATCTATATAATTTTAAATGATACGTACAAATGATTTTAAAAGATGATTGGTTAATGAATGCATTGATGCACTAGCAATAGCCAATCACATTTTACTATCTGCCACGTTTCCTGACTGTTGCGTTGTCATAATTGTGTTGCGGGAAAAGTTAGCCGAGTGTAGTTCGAGCACGGTGCTAGCCGTGTTGACAAATTTATTGTATTAACTGAACATGCAAATACTACGACAATTGGATGTGCACCCAAAAGTGCGCGAAGAGGCGGATATTCTTGTGCGAACTTTCAGTGGTGCTGTTGGTAAAGCGTTTTTTACTTGTCAAATCTTAGACAAGTATCGCTTATCAATTTTATTAGCTTGCAATAAATTATTTAATGAATTATGTTGATTTTCTTTGATTGTCATAATGCTAGAAAATTTTTGAATCGTTGCATGTAATTTTAAATATAATATAATATGATAAAGAGATGTTGTTAACCTCAACTAGGAACAATATTTAACAAATGTAGAATTACTTTCCTATTTCTTAAATTAAATATTACTACATCTTATATAAAATATAATTGATTAAAATTATATTTTAAGTTTTTGATATTGTATTTAGTAAAAGTTTTTATTACATCATAACTATTGTTTATATTTGTTATCCAGCATAAATAAAGTTTATAACCTACATTTATTTTTTGTGTACAATTGTTTTCCAGTGACAATCATTAGTACAATTATCATGGGTATTTTATTTCTATCTGAAGTGAATTATTATCTCACTCCAACATTGAGTGAAGAATTATTTGTAGATACTTCAAGAGGTTCAAAATTAAGAATTAACTTAGATATAATTGTACCTACAATATCGTGTGATCGTAAGTATATATATATTTTATATTCCCAAATATATAATAATAAAAAAATTAACAAATATATTAAATATATTACAGTTTTATCTATAGATGCAATGGACACAACAGGTGAACAACATTTACAAATAGAACATAATATATTTAAAAGACGTTTAGATTTAAATGGAAAGCCTATAGAAGATCCACAAAGAACAGGTAATAATACAGGATGATAATAACATAAAAGATTTCAAATATTTATAATAACTAATATAAAATTAATTAATTTTTTGTTTATTTTAATATAGATATTACTGACACAAAAGCACTTAGTAAAACAACAGCAAAGGTATTTGAATTATTGAATTATTTGTCATTATTACATAATTGTTATTATAATATAATTTTGTTAATTGCTATAATATAATTTTGTTAATGCTAATAAAATTTAATAACTTTTTTATAGACATTAGAAAGTACTACAGAGAAAATATGTGGAGATTGCTATGGTGCTGCTAGTGAAATTATCAAGTACAATAATACACAAAAATTTATATGTAATTTATGAAAACTTTTTATATAATTAAATTATCTTTATAGGTGTTGTAATACTTGTGAAGATGTAAGAGAAGCTTATAGACTTAAGAATTGGGCACCTCCTGTTCTAGGAAATATAAAACAATGTCAAAATGATAAATCAGTAGAAAAAATGAAAACTGCTTTTACTCAAGGATGTCAAATTTATGGTTATATGGAAGTAAATAGAGTAGGTGGAAGTTTTCATATTGCACCAGGAGATAGCTTCTCTGTAAATCATGTACATGGTAAAAAAATATATTACTATTGCTGACATAAATTAAATTATGCAATATTATGATATTTTTCATTTTGCTTACAGTACATGATGTCCAACCATACACATCAACACAATTTAATATGACTCACAAGATTCGCCACTTAAGTTTTGGATTAAATATTCCAGGAAAAACAAATCCTATGGATGATACCACTGTAGTTGCAATGGAAGGTATGCCCTTGCTTCGTAGAAATATTTTATTGAGAAATTAATAGAATATTCTGATACTACAATTTTTTGTATCCTAAATGTCAAACGTAACACTCTTCGATTACTAGCATCTTATTCCACTTCCAATGGCCATGAATGTTCCAAATGTTCCACCACCTTGAAGCATTGCTTTTCCAACGTTGTTTATTAATTCCCTTCCTCTTAATCCATATCTGATAATAAATATATCATTAGCTATACTTTTCAAAATATTATTAATTTAGTCATAATAAATTAATATCCACCTAACAATAGAATATCCCCCAAATAGAACACCAGATGCCATTCCAACACAAAATCCAATCATAAAACCAAGTTTTACTCTATCCCAGCATGAAGGAGCTTGTTGATACATGCCTGGTACGGCCGGCATTATTTTCTACGAATATAATTTATATAAAAACATTTAACCTTATTTCTTATAAAAATACCTCACAAATATGGATTATGATTCTCTTTTAATGAACTTTATATATAATTAACTTTTATTCAACACAAAATGTCAAAATTATCTTTAACACATTATAAATTAATTGTCTCTAACATAATTCGAATAAATTTTATTTATTTTGCATTTAAAGAAATTTATAAATGCTCGACATAATTAACATCACTCACAATTTAAATGTTTGATTTTAGAACTTATAATGAATATGTAATATGTTTTTTTTTTAATGATTTTTCGTATTTTACAACTTGTAAATCCTTAACACAATTCGTTCGGATAGTATAAGGAAGGTGCCATGTTAGTTTCTTGATGTAAGATGGCTACTTTTCCTATTTCCGTTTTATATGATTTCAATAGTAGATTATTTAATTAATATTTATAAATATTTCGATCAAATAATTTTTTATAAAATGTTCTTTTACTTTCAATTTTAAACTATGAAATTAGATTTTAAAAATATATTTGTCATTATAATTAAAATTCTATATAGATATTTCATTGTTTTTGTTTCAGGTGCGATGATGTTTTATCATTATATCAAGATTGTACCTACAACCTATGTTCGCGCTGATGGCTCTACGTTATTAACAAATCAATTTTCTGTAACTCGACATGCTAGACAAGTTTCTTTATTTAGTGGAGAATCAGGAATGCCAGGAATATTTTTTAATTATGAATTAAGTCCATTAATGGTAAAATATACAGAAAAAGCAAAATCATTCGGTCATTTTGCTACGAATGCTTGTGCAATTATCGGTGGCGTATTTACAGTTGCTGGATTGATAGATTCATTATTATATCATTCACTCAGAGCAATACAAAAAAAAATAGAATTAGGAAAATATAACTAAAATTCAGATCAATTTAATAAATTTGAAAAGTATTATAGAATATTTGAAGATATTTTGTACGATGAATAATAATTTAAATTATATAAAAGAGTTAGTAAGATCAAATAATTTGATCTTTTATCGAGTGTATTATTAAAAATTGAAAAGGAAAAACTGATGATATAATAATATAAGTTTTACAAAGTTTTTATATTGTCTTAAATAATATTGGCACAACAAATTAAATACTGATGTGTAAGATATATAGAACTGTACATAAAGATTTCTAGAAATGTATAAGAATATCTAATATTTAAGTACAATATATACAATAAAGATTACATTGCTATAAAAAGAACATACATATATATATAAATATTTATGATTAAATAATTATATTTATTTTAGTTATATTAAAAAGACTTTAAAAAATTATTGTAAGTTATAATAGAAACTTTTGCAATTTTTTCGCAAAAATCAACATCAGTACCTGAAATTAAGTTAAATAATGACACATATAATGGTTTTGTAGGATCATATTGATTTCTTTTCAATTCTACTAAAAATTTATGCCTTCTTTCAAGTCTACTTTTCCTACAAATTAAAACTTTCGGTTCTCTAGAAATAGAACTATGTGATAATTCCATTTGATTATGCAGATAATCAAAAGTTTTCACCACTTCTGTCTTGGCTGAAATAAAAACAAAAAATTTTTTATATTTAAACAATTTAACAAATATTGCCAATATTATATCAATATTTGATAATATTTCATATTTTAATTACCACGAATCCATACACGTGGTGCTTTAAGCAAAATATGCTGTGTTTCAAATTTACTAAATCCCATTTCCTCTTTTACTGCAAAAGTACTATTTCTTATACGCTTCATATCATATGTTATAAGTTTTGGACATTTTACAGTTAAGATTCTTATTTGATTACCATTTAATTTAAAAGTGTGTTGAAAATAACCTAATCTTTTGTCTATTTCTTGTGTTTTAAAAGATAGCCAAGGAGGGTGTTTATTCACTATGCTTTCTATCATTTCTACGGAAAAATTATGATATCTTAAATATCTTATTCTTGTATGAAGATCATCTATATCTTCTTTAAAGATTTTAGGATTTCTAGTAATAAAATGTCCAAGATTTTCTGAAGTTACACCACAATCATGTAAAAATTGTATATATGGTTTTATATTTTTGTCAAAATCTAAAGTCAAAAACATTTCTATTACTTCTTTGTCTCTTTCTATTTTGTATAATTCAACTCCTAATTTAACTAATTGCTGAATTGTATTTGACTGATCTGCAAATTTTGCTAAATTATGAGTTGGTGTTATATAAGGTTCAATATGAGACAAATCTTCATTGCAACGATCAAATGGTTCTGGTAATTCTTCATTTATATCTTCCAAACTATCATTTAACTTATAATCATTTACATTTAAAAATTTAATATTATGTGATTGTTCTAATTCATTATTTATCTTTGTAAGACTATTATTATTTTCAATATTTTCATTATTTTTTGTAACTATAGTATTTATTAACTTCTTAGAATAATCTATATTATTAAAAGTATCATTATGCTTTTTAGTATCAGTATTTGATATTTTATTTTTAAGCATATCTACTGTAGAACAATTAAATAATTTGGAACTTTTGGAAACATTTCGAAAAATAAAATTCGAAATTTTACTGACATTACAATATTTTGAATGTAAAAATATACGCATTTGTGAAACCATATTCTATAATAAAAATATTATAATACACAAATACACAAGCACTACAATTTTTTAAAAACTAATACATATTATTTTAAAATACATTAAAAGTAATTTATTTGTAATATTTATACCATTTTTATACATAGGTATAGATACAGTATAGAAATACAAAATAGGTTATTCTTTCTACCATACATTATTATATCAAACAAGGTTAGAATAGATCTTTTCCATAATGATTTTTTTTATTTTGATGTCACATACAATGTAGTTTAATAAATACAATATTTCGATTGCAATATTACAAAAATAGTAAAATTTCTCTTTGTTGCAAAATTTAAATTATGTACAACATTACAATATTACAATTTTTATTTAAAATTCTTGTGTTATGTTCTAATATATTTTAATTTAACTAATTTTTATGTTAAATTAATTTTGGTAATTTTAATTTATTGTTTTATATTTTTAATGAATATAACTTTGATGTAAGAATTATAATTATGCAGTTATTAATTCAATTTTTCGCGCGAATTTGAATGAATAAAAAACCACATTGTTCCAACCAATTAGGAAATTGTTTATTTTGAGTAGTTTGAAACTGGACCGTTTCAGCCAATCAGAGAATAACTAAGTGAAGTTTTGGCGGGAGGCGTCATTTTTCTGTAAGAAATCATCGTGACGGGACGTGTCTGCAATTCTACCGGTCTGTAATTCTGTAAATATTAATATTTCTATTTTGTCATTAAATTCATAGATTAATATCAGCTTTCTTTTCTTAATAACTCATTGGATATTATAATTGCGAAATTAATTAATCGAATTTCTTTATACTTTTTCTTTTAATTATCTTAAATCATTAGATTCTAATGGTAGTTATATATATCATCTTTTCAGATAGAATTTTAAATTCAATTATTTTAATTCTGTTAATAACAAATTCTATTTGTTTAATTTTCTTTTTAAATTATTAGTTTATTGCAAAGATAACATAGACTATGACAAAAATGTAAAGCATAAATGACGATTTAATTTTTTGAATTTTTTATGGAAATTTGGTAACGTAAAATTTATTTTAAGATTATACAAATATTACATAGTTTTATAAATTTCACTATTAGAAAAGATTAAATAAAATTAATATCCTTCTTTGAATATATAATTAATCATTTTTATATTCGTTTCTTATACATCATATACATAAATTGTAAAAATTTATAAAATGTAGCATATACGTATATCACATATAATCACTTCATTATATTTAATTTTTATTAATGAGAAAATTAATTGAAAAAAACTTTTAAAAAATAGTATTTTTCTGAACAAACATTTTGAAAACATATTTTACTTCTTTTTTTTTTTTTTTTTTATACGAATTATTACCAATCCTCACTAACACAATTTTATTTACAGAGAATTATTTTAATTGCGTGCAATGTGATTAATAGAAATATTTGCAATATAAAAATATTTTTAATATTTTTTAGAACTCTTATTAGTTAAATTTTTTTCCATTTATATTATTATCAATATTTCACGTTTTTGTGGCGCAAAATATTACGTTTCAATGAAGATATAAAATGTTAGTATACATATGAAATAAAGTATGTATATCTCACATAGAGTTATACAATTAGATTAAGATGTAATTTAATTTTTGTTTTCAGATTTAGATTATCACATCGGTTTTCCTTACAATTTCTTTTGTTGTTTGTTTTGCACAATGATCAAAAATTTGAATGTTTTGCAAATAAACAACAAAAGAAGAATTTATGATGAGACCTGGGGAATTATTATTTGTTATATAATTCATAATTGTATCATTTTATAATGGGGTGAGGCGGAGGGGGGAGAAGAAAGAGGGAAAGAGATAAAAATCTAAATTTATAAATAAGTTTATTAATAATTACTTAATTATTATTACTATAAAATTTTTTTTGTTAATATATAACATTAAAAATAAAACAAAAAATATATGATAAGAAGAAATATTTTATTACTCAAAATTATTCACACATTAAATATTAGATCAGAAAGAAGTTGTTTATTTATATAAATATACAACACAAAGAATGACTGCATATAATATATTTGTAATATTTTTTAAGATCTTGGTTCTGAAAAAAATTATATTCATTCACACAGACATACATACTTATATAACTAGAGCCATTATCATCTAATTATGCCGTTTTTTTAGTTTAGTTTTCGTAACAAGCAATATGTGTTACAATAGTAAGTACATCGGTGATGTTTTAAGAACACTAATTAATAATCAATATTTCAACACTAAAATAAAAATAGAGAAATATCGGAATGTACCTTAATATAAGATAACAATATTCTCTCGAGAATCAGTAATACTTCGCGATTATTAAATTGCGTGCCGATTCGCAATTTAATACAATATTGATATTAAATAAATAACTTATTTTCGAGATTTTGAATTTACATTCTAATTATCGATATATGTATATACGGCATAAAGTTGGAAGTATAGTGTTAACTGACAGTGAAATTAATCAATTTGAAGTACAGTGATAACAAGTGTCGGCAGTAACGTTTTAAAAAAATACTATGTTGAAAATATTCGTCGAATTTTACAATGCCGTTATATACGACTCTACTTATAGAGTATTTTCCATTTTTCATTGTTGTCGGACTAGAAATATTACTCCTGTTTTTCTCTTGCAGCAGTGCCATTTGTATTTATTGATTCATTTCCTATTTCCTGATTTCTTGCTTGTTGTCTTAATTGCGCTCTTTTCAAACTGGTCATTAATTGACTAGACTGATAAAGCCAACTGGCCTAAAAATTCAAATAAAATATGTAAATAAAACTTCTAAAACTATATACAATTTATCTTATTGTTAATCTTATTGAAATTTTATATCTACTTACAATCATAATCATACAATTCATTAAGATAGGCACAGAGAATACTACAGATATAAAGAGACCATTGGAATCAAAATATTGCTGTCTTGAGAACAACCTATTGCAATTTTATAGATTTATTATTTAAATTTTACTACTTGAACTGATATATTTATTAAAATATTATATTTAGCTATCTTAAGATACTTACATCCAATTAGATGCAGCAACTTCATTGATACTTTCAGAAAAATATACCAGAAGCACTATAACAGACATAATATTAAAATAATAAATGAATTATTCTGTATTGATTACTGATTTAATATAGAATATATATAATAACCAATATGAAATATACTTACATAGTGCAAGAAATAACATAATTTGAAAATTGGCATGATTTCGCGTCATCAATGCAGTCAAAGTAACAGCAATGTGAAAAGTTAATAATAACGCAAGCCATGGATCTCTCCATTCAATCTGCAATGATTTGCAATTTATTTGCAAATGAATGAATAATAATGAAGCTGTGTTCTTTCTAAATTGATATTACATAATAAAATAAGAATAGTATATTCAAAGACACAAATGCTATGCTATTAAAAAACAATAAATTTGCAATACTTCATATATATTAATTTTAAAATTATATATCTATATAATTATATATATATATATATATTATATTGCATAATGTAATCTTGTAAAATCATAAATCATTTGTATTTGATAAATTGCGAGAATCGTATCAATATCACGGTCGTCTTAAACTATGTATAATAATATTAAATATTCAGAAATAAAATACAAATGAAATCATATTTAAAATAAACAATAATTAAGCTACATATAAAAAGTAAATCTTGAGTGAATTAAATATCATTCGATTTATTTCTGATATTTCTTTTGGATATTATATGCAAATAAAAATGAATAGATAAATATATATAATAACGAAGGGATCGAGTTAATATGTACGTCAATGCTTTGATATTTTTTTACCGGTTATATTGAAAACGAAAGTTGAAAACGAAAAAATAGAACGAAACATTTCGAACAACTCAAGTACGTTTAAAGGAAATATCCAGAAATACCAGCATGGACAAAAATCGAAATTTGCGTAGTAAAATTAAAAGTGATTGTTACACTTACACTTTGCAAAAATGGTAAAATACCATCGATTGGAGACGGTGGATTTACTTGATCTTCCGACATTGTGTTCTTGATAAAATTCGGGCCACGGCGCCCTATTGTAACCTTTTAATCGACTTGGACGCTAACAGAAGAAACGACCAATGCCAAATGCAGATACATGCCGCTAACACGGCAACACACTGGAAAAACAATATCACAGAGGAGGAGAAGGATTTTATTTCTTTTTCTTTGTTGTTTCTATCTTCTTCCTTCTGACGCATGCAAGCGACTTAATGAAGTTTAACAAAATCACATACGTGAAGATATTATATATATATATAATTCATCATATATATGTATATGTATATATATATATATATATATGCACTGCCATCTGTGATTATACTGTAGAATTACAAGCAATAGTTTTAGTCGATAAGACTAAACCTCTTTACTTTTAAAATGCATGATAAAAAAACTAGGTTGAAAATAAACTGATTCAAGGCATTAAATTTTTACATGTATATAACAATTTTCCTCTATTTTTTTTTTCAATGAATATAAATTGTAATTGATAAAGTGTTTTATCGCATAATTTTTAAATTATAAAATTTAAATTATAATAATGTGATTTTTTTATACATCGAGCTAATCAAAAAATAAAATTAATTAATAAAAATATGAAATTTCGTTTTAATTTAAGACAATTGATTTGATTATATTACGAAATTTATTATAAAGAAAAGAAAAATTATTCCACATATTGAAATCATATGTTTGATTCCACATTACTGCGCATTGCAGATATAGATGCAACAAATATTCATATGATAATGTAATTATTGGATTTTAATTTTACAATTTATTTTAAAATTCATTTACATATTGCATTTCAATATTGTAATGTAATGAATTAATGATATTTTTTAATTAATTAATAAAATATTTAATTCAATAATGATATTACTGAACATGTTGTTTGGAATAATTAAAAAAGTTAAATTTAAATAGGGAATATTAGAAAGAATTTCTAGTTTTCATAATTGAAATTTATTTTGAACGTACTCTATATTTTTTTTTATCTTAAATTTGTTGAACATGCACGATACAAGGTGAAATATTTAGATTAAAGATCTTTTCATTATTTAAACATTCAGTTGAAATTAAATGATATCAATTTATTCTCTTGTTTTGTCGTATTTCTAAATTAGCATAGAAAAAAAAAAAAAAGATTCAAGAATGTAAAGTTATAAATTCTCTGTAAATAATTATTGATGACGAGTTACAAATATTACGATTGTGAAGATTATAATGATTATCTAAATGCGATAGTTATCCATCTAAAAAAAAAATTATGTTAAGATAATGTTATCATAACATAAGTGTATAAGTAAATAAGTAAATTTAAAATATAAATGTCTTATTTTCAAAAGTTTTTGTTAATTTTTGTTAATTTCGATTAATTTTTTAATTGTGACTTTTTCATAAATCAATTATTTATTCTCTATTATTATTTTCTGCGAATAACATAATTATATGGTTATCACATTTAAAAAAAAAAATGACTAGAAATTTATTCTTCTAAATTTGAATGAATAATTATATACTACTCTTCTGTAGCATATTGTTAGTCAGAGATTTACGATTCACGAAAGAAACGATAATCGAGTTTGTTTAAGTAAATGTTTTATCAACAAGTAATTTATTGACAAATAATATATTATATAATATATTATTGAAGTCGATTGATAGTAATTTTTTCAATAACTACTTATGACACATCTTTACACATCTTGTATTTTACTCGTATAAATATGAAAGATTACAAATGTTTGTTAAAACTGTACGAGATAATTTGAAAACGAGATTAATAATTTAAAAAAAACCATTGGATATTATACTGTTATTTATTAATGATATTGGATTTTCGAAAAAATTATAAATTTATATTGCATACTAAATATACATAGACAATTATTCTTTTTAAATTTAACTTTTTATAATTAAAAACAAAGTCATCAAATATAATTGATATGATATATATAATCTATAAAATGTAATTAAATAAATTTAATCTAATTATAATCTAATTATTATTCAATGTATAAATTTCCTTGTTAATGAGTGAATTCAATATAAATTTTCTTGATTAATTATTTGATCCAATTATTTGAGCGATTATTACGTTTTAAAATTAAATTTATAATAATAATCGTATTTTACAATTTTTCTTCTTTAAAAATTTTTCCTTATCTTTAAAATATTAACGCATCGATGTGGCATAATGACGAAATCGAGGGTAATTAAAAATTAAAAATCAATTGCTCGAGAATACGAAAAAACAACTGTTGAACTTGCAAATTCAAAAAACAAAGCACGTAGTATTTTACGCAATGCAATCACATGCAATGCAAAAACGCATTTTTCACTCGTCGTATATCATAACAAACAAGATTACAATATTATATGCATTTTCATTTATAAAATATACCAACATTATTCCGCATCGATACAATTTTTAATTTTAATCGAGGATAAAAAAATTTTCGAGATTATCAAAATTTCTGAATTTCGACAACGAATTTTTGAAAAATTAAATAAAAACTCTCCTCATCAATTTCAATATTTTAATTATTCGAGACGTGTATTCTCGATCCACGTTAAAATGACAATACAACAGTCAGTTTAGAAAAAGAAAAAAAAAAAAAAAGGAAAAATTCTGGTCTCATTTTCAATCGATATCTCGTATCCTCGAATCATATTTTATTTAATTTATAAACTCGTTCGGGATCACCGCACTCCCTCTTACCCTCATCCCCTCCCCCGTTAAGATGAGACCAATTCGACAAGATGACGGAGAGAGACCCTCCTCTTTTCGATTACGCCTTATCAATTGATGACTCGTCGATGCATGCATACGTGTTTTACGTGTTTCCGAGTGACGAGTTTTATCAAGCGGCGAATAAATAGCTGCATGCCTTGTCTTCTACTACTAGTATATAGCATTATAAGCAGCATGAAATTGACCGGTGGAATAGTCATGAAATCATGAGCCTTAGCTACGTGCCGATTGGACTTTGAGCGGTCAAAGATTGGATCGAGATGGTGGACAAGTGAAGACCTCCTTCTCGTGCGATATATATTAGGTCACAGTTATATTGTGGTCGTCCTGCTATGAGGATCGTTTCGTCGTAACGCGTTCAATCGTCGATCGAAAATAGGGAAAGATGATGTCGCCGTTTGATTTGGATTTGAAACTCCCGGGACCGGAAGCCTTGGCCGTCGCCGAGAAGGAGCTCAGAGAGACGGAGGAGAACGTGAAAGATGGGCTCGCCAAGTTGAGGAGCTATCTCGAGGGTGAGTTTTCGGGGGATTCGTTTTAATTTTCTTCTGGTGTATTTTTTTTTTTTNTTTTTTTTTTTCGTTAGGGAGATGGATCTCCCTGCTCTTTTTGTTTATTGACATTTTCGTAACTTTAATTGTTCTAATCTACTCGGAAATTTGTTGAAGAGTAAAACATCTAAGTAACGGTAGTTTTTTTTTTTTTTTTTTGAAAGAGTATAATTCGTATCAATAACACGAAGTTAAAAATATCATCGACGTTCTTTACATCGATAATAATCATTTCATAATCTAATGATAATCTGCGATTTTCATTCGCCTTGTGTGAAGCAGCGAAATCTTTTTTGACGTCAACGTTTTTTTATGTTTCTTTTATTTATAGAAATAATGTTTGATATCGTTTAATAAAAAAGACTCGACTTTCGTAAGTGTGATGACTTTTAAATAAATAAAAACGAATCAAAAACGAATTTGTATTATCTTTCTTCTTCCTCTCGTGCATCGATGATAAATTATCTTGTATGTTTTAGAGCGTACACTTGAATGATATTATACATAATAACAAAGAGGAAGAATTGAATCAGTAGTATAAAAATATTTCATACATTTCATACATATTGTTATTGTATCGCGAAATTTTTTTTTTTTTTGAAGCATTCATATCTAAATAATATTCGATTTTTGAAGAATTATGTAATGTAATTTATACACACGTATTTATATATACGTTATAAATATTTTCTCACGGTTTCTAACGGATTTGATTACAAAGGATTGTTTTTTAAATTTCATTTGAATTGTAAAGAAAATGAATAAATGACGCAGAAAAAAATTGAAAAATTTTTTCTTGGGCAAACGTTGTTTCTCGGACAAATGGAAAGGTCAATATTTATGTAAAAAAAAAAAAAAGAAAAAGAAAAAGATTGAAAAATAATATATAATCGGTGAATTTCAAGCGTAACTTTTTCACAGAATTTCGCGTTATATTCTATCGTGAAGTAAGCGATTCCAAGTAAGGTCTTCGAAACTATAGAAATTTATATCATATGCGTATAAGAACGTCAACTTTGGGGTCACGTTCGTTACTTAGATAAGAATTTATCGCTATGGACACAGCAAGACACGGTTAAATATTTTGTTTAAACGACAATTTTCTTGTACATCGAATAATGTAAATAATCTGCAGCTACGTGAATGAAATTGATCAAAAATCGGAGATAAGATCGATTCTAAGTCCGTTGTGATAACGATCACGAACCTTGGCCATCACGAACGAACGCTGATCGAGAAAGGATTAAAGAATCGATGCATCTATATCGATAAAATAAATTTCCAATAATAATAATAAATTTGCGATAATCGTTCGAGATGATTTCGCTATCGTATGCATTCGTCACACGTGCCGAAAAATGATAAATGAAAAATTTACTCTCTTTGTTACAATTTACAAATCTTCCTTCGTTTTTTTTTTTTTTTTTTACTTTCTTTCTTTCAAGACATATCGTGAATTTGTAATCGATACAAGATAGACAGCGTCAGATAAATGGCGGAATTAAAAATAACGAACGAAAATATAGACTCGTAATAATTTCTTTAGATATCTCTCGAAAGATATACGAAGATTGGAAGATTATATTGTATTCGAGCACTTGAAATTTTTTATTTGGAATCATAATGGAGAATAAAATAAAATTAGAGTTATTTCCGGTTATTAATAATTCTTTCAGATCCGATACACACAGATATAACACGATTTTATTTAAAGTATTATGCTATTTTATTAATTTAAAATTATCTCTTTGACAGTTCTTAAATCGTTGGAAAATGATAAAATGATAAATTTCTTTTGTTAAAGTATGAGATAGAACTTTATCTCAGTATTAAAGTCAAATAAGATTAAGAAAAAATACTGGCCACAAATTGAAGCTTTCTTTTATTACATCGTTTCTCTTTTCTCTATATAAAGAAATTATATGATTGTAATTTATCGATAGACAAATTTTTCGTTTCTACCTTCGTAACGCAATTCGTTCAGAATTTTGCGAAACAGTGTTCTTCACTATTTTCACTCACTTCGAAGTGTTTAGATTCGAAAACTCTGTTATCCAATATTCCGTTCCGTTCCGTGATTTCAGCAACGGAATCGTCGCAATTTCCTTAACGAGGAACACAGACCGAGACAATTTCCTACGGGGGAGATCTTGGCTGCTATCACGCGAGGACAATTCGATCTTTCATCCGAATGAATGAAATGAAAATTATTATTCGCGATTTACAATGAATGTTGGCAACGAACGAATCTCAATTACGATATTGTTTTATTGAACGTTTCGAATGAGAGAAAGAAAAATCAATCGATTCTTTTTTTTTTTTTTCTACATCATAGATGACAAGTATAAATATTGCCAATCAAATTTCAGACAGAATCTATAATTTATAATTCTTTATAATGAAATTTAGATTTTGTTTAGATTATAAATTCAGATTATTTAAATTTAACGAGATGACATTCACCACCACCTTCCACCGTGTGAAATCACGCATCGATTGTAATTTTTCGCTCGCTTATATACCACGAATTGTAAATTTTTGTTCGCGTTTTACGTCCAGCGATCCATATTTCTTCGATTGGGAAAAGAAGAAAAAAAAGAAGGGGATAAAATTGATAATTTCACGATAATTTCTATTCATTTTCTTTTTCTCCATTTTTCCATTTTCAGAGGACAAGACTCTCTACTTCAGAACGGACGAGGATTTTCTTCTTATTTTTCTACGACCATGCAAGTTCTACGCGAAGAGCGCGTACGAGTTGATGAGGAGGACCGCAGAATTCAAGGAGAAGAACTCTTCTCTTTTGCACAACCTGATGCCAAAGGACGAGGAGGTGCCGCTCACTAAACACAACGTGGTGAACGTGATCAAGGAGAGAGATCACAAAGGGAGAAGAATGCTCGTGGTTCACTGCGGAAAAACATGGAATCCATCCGCTGTGAACAACGACCAGTTATTTCGATTGTTCTACCTGATTCACCAGCTTGCCATGCTGGAGCCAGAAACTCAGGTGAGCTTCGATGAAAATCATGGCTGCGTTTTGTAACTATAGCAAATAATTCGCAATCATATAATTTATATAATAAGCCGTTTATTTATCGTTACGTGAAGTAGTTGCAATTGAAATTCTGTTTCTCGATTCTTCTCGTGGCTTCTAAAAACTTTATTGCAACAAAAAAAAGGAACGATTCTTTTTTCAAAGATACACGGAAGCGTGGTGATAATGGACTTTGACGGGTTGTCGATGAAGCAAGTGATGGGGATCACGCCGTCTTTTTGCATGAAGCTTCTGAATTTTATCCAAGACGCCATGCCCCTGCGTTTGAAAGAGGTGAGATTGTTCGCGATTTCAGAATACTTCATTCCTTTTCCCGGTTCTAGTTATCATAGAATGAATGAAAACAAGTTGAGATCGAAGGCCGAGCAAACAATTGTGCAAATAATGCACAATGACGATGGATTTTCTGCAACTTGCGTTTATCCTTGCTTTTTCATTGTTCGTCGATCGAGAGATTTTATCCCTCGGGGAAAGGTTGACGAGTGGATCGATTCACAGGTGCACGTAGTGAAACAACCGTTCTTGTTCAACATGGTGTGGCAAATGATCAAGCCCCTTGTCAAAGAAAAATTGAAGAATCGGATACACATCCACGGCAGCAAGATGTCTTCGTTTCATAATTACATCCCAGCCACGTATCTACCGGAGAATTATGGCGGTGAATTGCCGAAAATCAATTACACAAGCGCCGATTGGTATCCGGTCTTGTTGAAGCACGAAGATAAAATTAAACGTGCGTTTTATTCATAGATTCAATAAACTGTATCTGTAGAGTGTGTTTTATAAATTTTACAAATGATCGAATCGAAGGATTGACGCAATTTTATTTTCAGAGTGGAACACGTACGGATTTCGACAACAATGAAGAAAAATTCATTGAAAATCTTCTTCCCTTTGTGATTGTGACAATGTTGTACAAAATATTTTAAGTATTTACCGATTTTTCTTATTCCAAATTTATAATTGTAAGTATGATTAACTCATAAAATATTTTTAATTAGTATTCTCGGCAATAAATAAAATTTATCCTTTTTTTAACGTTTATAAGATGCAGTAAATCGATAAATCTGTAAAATAATGATTTCTTCTATTACATACATACGTCTATATATATGTACAATGTATTCGACAAAAATATATTATTTTTAATAGATGTTATAATTAATATTGTATATATGCAATTTAGTTAACATATAATATATATATATATATATATACATTGTATATACATAGAAATTAGATATCGAACGGTTAATTAATTAAATTAATTAATTAATAAAATTTGAATTAAAAGAAAATTACTTGAAACGACGATGAAGTAAGATTGACAGAGTCATTTCCTGATGTCAATTCCCAAGAACCGAAATGAATATTTATTTTTAATAATACAGAATTAATTAAAATTATTTTTTATTTGTACCTGTGAAATGAAAGATTTGAAGAAAATTAAAAAAAAAAAAAAGAAAGGAAATATCGTTTATCACGTATAGCCAATGGGAAGATCTTCAATTTTCCTATATATCTCGCTGAAAATAAAAATTTTTTGTGTTTTCAAATGAATTTTTTA